AGAAGTTGAGGGAGTATACCCAGAAAGAACACTTTAGGGAAACAAGACAAAATTGTAGGACACAGTTAGAACTTAACAACAACCCTTACCTTAAGAATTCTATGCTCTTCCATTTATACCACATCAAAACACTAATTTTGGCATCAAGCGACTCAGATCATGTTCCTTTTCAATGTTCTTTGTGTTTGGGGAACAAAAAGAAGTCTGAAGGGGCAAGATCAGGGTTGTAGGGTGGATGAGGTAAGCTTTCCGAAAAAAATTTTCCTAGGACAACCCTTGTTGTTCTTCAAGAATGAGCAGGTACGCTATTGAGTTGGGAAAAAATTCCTCAGCGTAACTTTTCTGGCCATTTGCTCAACAATGCAGTTTTCAAGTTTAAAAAAATTTTTCATAGTAAACTCCCATGGTTATCCTGGGTCCTTCAAGAAAATCCATGAAAATTATTCCTTTGGTAGTTTAAAAAAGTTGCCATACCCTTCTGAGCTGACCTAAATTAAACTGGCCCAGTAGGCCAGCTTGAAAGCCATTGTTCTGATGGACCTTTTTGAAAGGCACCTCAAGGAGCCTAAGACAAGTGTATTACAGAGACAACTTGTCCGTAGCCATTCAAGTACCACAGAGACATGCCTCAACACATTTTGTTTGAAATAAAAACATGCAGGCATAAACTGGAACACCAGTAGCAATAGTTTTTATATACTATCAAACATGTGAGTGTTAAGTATATATTGATAATTTGTGTGTGAAGTAGAGCAAGAATAATAAGTACATGTGGCAAAATGTTAAAAATTGGTGAGTGCGGGGAAAGGGGGAATATGAGAGTTTTTTATACACTTGTAACTTGAGGTTATCAGTTTAAAATGATTTCAACATAGAAACTTAAAATAAGATGAGGAGTGTACCAAGTTACTAGTAAAAAAACAAACAAGAACCTCTGTTTATATAAATCAATCCACTAGTTGCCTTAATTAGCAAGATAGGGTTCTTTGGAAAGGGGCCTATTCTAGGTGATTTTTGTTGTTGTAAAATGCAGTCAAGCTGGTTTGGACACACAGAGACTCTGTTTTGGGTTTCCAAGGCTAAGTGTTCTAGATCTTCACTGAAATAAGTGAAAACATTACCACGCAGGAAAGAAGGCAATGGGATAACATACACAAAATGGTTAAAGAAAATAAGATAAGACTCATATACCCAGCAAAGCTGTGCTTCAAAATAATTAGGGAATTTCCTGACAAACAGAAATTAAAGGAATTTGAAATAACCAGATCAACTTTACAAAAAATACTAAAGGGCATTCTTTGGACTGAGAACTAAGAGCAGCAGATAACATTCTGAGATTACCAGACACGACAATACGCCCCAGAACTTAATCCAGATATAAAAGTATTTAAAGTAAAACAAATCAACAAGACTGAAAATAGAGAACCAAAGATATCAATGTATAATAAAGTCAACCACAGAGCAAAGAGAGGAAAAAATATAGATACAGAACTTACAAATGGAAAGGAAGTCAAGTAGATTACAAGGTAAAACAAACTGTTCTAAGCAGGGAATACATTAATAAATTACAGGGAAACCTGAAAAACAAAACAACAACAACAAAAAAACACATGCCCATCAAAATTAAAAAAAGGAAAATCAGAAAAATTTAGTAAACATTAACACAACAGAAATGAAAATGAAAAGAAAACTCACAAACTAAATGAACTCAGCATAGAAAATTATGTGGAACAAAGAATCCAGCAGCACCACAAAAAATACACAGAAAAATGACAGCAGTCTATTCATACCTATTAATAATTACACTAAATATAAATGGATTAAATGTATCAGTCAAGAGACAAAGAGAGCAGAATGGATAAGAATCAAAAAGATAGAGACAGCCTAAATGCTCATCAATAGAAGAATGGTTAAACAAACTTTGGTACACGGTGGTAGTCGGTGGTTATGTGCATGGAGTCGGTTCTAACTCACAGCAACCCTGAACAGGGTTTCTGAGGCTGTAAATCTTCACGGGAGCAGAAAGCCTCATCTTTCTCCCATGGAACAGCTGGTAGTTTCGAACTGCTGACCCTGAGGTTAGCAGCCTGATTCGTAACCACTACACGGTGAAACACTATAAATGTTGAAGAATAATGATGAATCTGTGAAACACCTCACAATATGGTTGAACCTGAAGGTCTTTACACTAAGTAAAATTAGTTAATCACAAAAGGACAAACACTGTATGAGACCAGTGATGTAAAAAAAAAAAAAAAAAAGGTTTTCTTGGTAAAACAAACAATCTATGATGATTATTGGATTGGAGAGGAAAAATTAATCATGGGCTGGAGGGTTGTTGTTGTTTTTAAATATCGTCGAGTCACTTTCAACCCACAGCAACCCTGAATAGGATTTCTGAGGAGCGGCTGGTGGGTTTGAAAAGCCTACCTTGAGGTTCAAACTGACCCGGCAGTCCAGAGCTTTATCCTACAACACCACACCAGGACTCCAGGCTAGAGGGTGTACATATATTAACATGGATGACAGGGTAGGTAATACCTAACAAGAGCGAGTTGATCAGAAGAAAGATGAAAGCAGTGGAAGACATGAAGGAATGCCATAGTTAAAGTGAATAGAGGTAAATGCTGTTAACTGTTGGTACTTGGGGAAGATTACAACCATGTAGTGAAGCAAGTGTCTGGTTTGTTGAATGCAAAACCAATCTGCTGTGCAAACCTTCACTCAGTCAAAATAAATGTTTGTTTGTTTTTTAAATAAGATAAAGGAATGTTTCCACAAACATTTTGAAACCCTCTCATATATACACTTATGTATAAATAAATACCTATAAAAATAAGTGCATATGACAGGAACAAACTACAGATATACGAAATAACATTGGTGAATTTCAAACACATTACACTGAATGAAAGAAGCCTTAAAAAAAACAGTGTGTACTGTGATTTCATTTACATGATTTATAGACCAGGAAAAATAAATTTATGGCTAAACAAAAACATCAATCAGTGGGTGACTGAGGATGATGACTGATTTGCATTTGTCAGGATTTATGTACTTCATTAACTTAACCTCCACAGGAAATAAACTTGGGGGAAAAAAAAGAATTCTGGCTCATCATATCATCACATAGTGAAGTAATTGTTGTTGTCAAGTGCTGTCGAGTTGGTTCTGACTCATAGCGACCCTGTATAGGATTTCAGAGGAGCTGTTGGTGGGTTTGAGATGCCGACCTTGGAACTCAAACTGACCTTATGGTCTAGTGCTTTTCCTATAGTGCTTATCCTAATGGTAGCACAGTGGGTTAAGCATTGACCTAACCTAGCCAACTGCTCCATGTGAGAAAGATGAGGAAGTCTGCCCCATACAAACTGACAGACTCAGAAGTCCTATACAAAGCAGCTTTACTTTGTTCTATAGTGTCACTAGGAGTCAGAATCGACTACTGGTTGTGGGTTTGCTTTTAGTTTTATGCAATAATGACAAAAATTTAAGATGAATAAAAAAATAAGATGGATTGATGAATGAATAAAATGTGTAACAAAGTAAGTAAAATGCAGGTGGTGGATCTACAAGTGTTGACTCTAAATATTCTATTTTGTTGTTTAAATATTTCCCCATATAAAATGCTGGGAGAAAGTATATGATACATGTGAATAGGAGACAATGTAATCTAATCAAGACTTAATGCTATCCTTATAAAAACAAAACTATGAAAGGAGCTCTGGCAGCGTAGTGGTTACGAATTGTGCTGCTAACTCAAGGTTGGCAGTTTGAAACTACCAGCTGTTCTGTAGGAGAAAGATGAGGTTTTCTACTCCCATAAAGATTTGCAGCCTCGAAAACCCTGTGCAGGGTCACTATGAGTCGGAACCGACTCTTTGGTACTTAACAACAACAACAACATATATTGACTTTATTTGATTAAAAAATCAGATCATTATGATGAATTCTGGGGAAAAAAACAAAGCAATATAAATTCTGTAGAATGCAATTCCAAGGCATGCTCAGAGTTTGTGATCAAAGGTGAACAAAATGCAATGGAGACCTGTCATATGTAAAAAGCAACATATTGTAGAAGACTGTCAACAGAGGCTGTACAGAATTTACAAACAAAAAAATTCAGGGTAGTCAAAAATGCCATCTGAAGAAATCAGAATTATGTCACTATGTTTCAACCTGCAATATAAATCAGTCATAGCAAATAAATGAAGTGATTTTAATATAATAATGTCGAATAGGACTCCTAACAGAAGTCCTAGTTGATATAATGATACCTAGTGGGACTCCTGGTGTGGCGCTGTAGGATCAGCAGTGGACTGCAAACTACAGGGTCAGCAGTTCAAATCCATCAGCTGCTCCTCAGAAACCCTACACAGGGTAGCTATGAGTCAGAACTGACTCTCTAGCACTTAACAACAACAATGGAAGCATAGTGGCTCCATAGAATAACACTGGACTACAAACCACAAGGTTGGTGATTCGATCTCATCAGCCACTCTGAGGGAGAAAGATGAGACTTTTTGCTCCTGCAATGATTTACAAGTCTTGGAAAACGTATACAGAGTTGGTAAGAGTTGGAACTAGTTTGACGGCACTTAACTACAACAACATCTAAGGAAAGACTATGCATGCACAAAAAGAATGGTTTGCACAGATTTAAAAAATTCTATCAATTAAGAATCTGTGCTTATATCTGAACTGTCCCTGGATATATCAAAGAGCAGGGATAGTTACTAGGGGCATTCAAGACCTTTATTAAATTCCTTTTAAATTTCCCTTTATCATTGTTGTGAATTAAATTGAAAAATCTTTCTAATTCCTGAAACTGGGAAACGGTTTTTCAATGCTACCATAAACATGTTGACCAGAGTAGAAAAAGACTCTCTTCTACTTTAAGATTATAACTTGAGTTACGGTTTAAACTCAAATACATTTTTCTTTTTATACAATTACCAGGAATATAACATTTTCAGCATGTCTTGAAAGGAATACTTTACCTGCCATCTCTTCTAAGGGCAAAAATGATGCCATCTTTCTGGAAAGGAAGCAGCTTTGCTCTTAGCTTGTCAGGCAAATAATCCAGTTGTTTTTCAGATTCACTTGTCAAACAAGAAGTCTGAGGCTTATGAGACTTTTTCATGTTACGAACTCTATGCATATTGATCCTGAAAATAAAAACATGAAAAAAGGAGGGATGGAAGAAATAGATATTACTAAGTGAGTTATAGAATTCAACATAAATAATAATATTGGCATACTAATATATATAGCATTGATAAACTATCTTCATGGAGTCCTGGTGTGACACCATAGGTTAAACACTACATTGCTAACCACAAGGTTGTTAGTGCAAACCCATCAGCTGCTCCTGGGAGACCCTATACAGGGTCAGTATAAGTCAGAGGCAACTCAACAACACTTAGCAACAATACACCATCTATATAGCTATAAATAGGTTAAATCATGTTCCTAAAACAAGCTACTAAGAAAATTCAAAGCTCTGAGTCAAAAACAATTAATTACCAAGGAACTCAACATCTTCTAATGCATTTTGAACCATAATATAAGGCATAAAAGGTAGACCTGAGTGGCACAAACAGTTTATCTTAAAGACTGGTGGTTTGAACTCACAAAATTGCGGTGTAAAAGAAAGGTCTAACCATCTGCTCTCATAAAGATTACAACTTAGAAAACCTATGGAGCAGTTCTATTCTGTAACCATGGGGTCACCAAGGGTTAGAATGAACTCTATAGCAATGGGTTTGATTTTTATAGTTATGAAACTCTGCTTATGCAATAAATAAACTGCTAAGACTGGACCTGAAGCAAGGTAGAAGAGTACACACAAAAGCTCTGTAGACTCAAGACGCAAGAACCAAATGAAACGGATACAGATGATAATGCTAGAACTCTAAGCTTTAAAAGAAATGATAAAGAGGTGGATTGAATATGGACTAGAAGAAATTGGATAAGGGGGCAAACTGAATGGTGAATTGTCAACAGAATGACACAGTACAGCCACTTTGAGTTTTTGCAAGCACCATTTCAATCAAGGGAGGAACTAGCTAATTTAATCTGCTTGTCTAGAACTACACCAGTGTCCACACTGGTAGCTGGAGGCCAGAGAGGTGTAGTCTTCCCCACACCATCCCAGTGACCACAAGAGTTACTAGATACCACCCCACCTACAAAGAAGCCTGATCTCCACCTGATGTCAGAGGCATGCCCTTGTATATGGGGATCCAGATATGTGCCACCCCCACATTTGGAGGCACACCATCTCCACCTCCTCAGGCTAACACAACACAATGTCAAAACTCAGTCAGCAGAGTGTACTGACCTGTACTGGGTGTCCTACCCACATAAGCAGGCGCACTACCAGAGTACCCTGTACCCCCAGTTTACACATCTGTTTTTTCTTTTCTCTTCTTCTTCCCTTGTTTGTGCTATTTTCTTTTTCCTATTTCCTTTTGTCTTTTTTTTTTTCTTTTCTCCCCTCTTCATATTTTTTGTAATGTTTTCTCAATCTTTTTCTTTCTCTGATACTCTCTCCCTAGGTTTTTTTTTATTTTTTTTATCCCTTTTCCTATTATTTTTTTTTTCTTGTTTGATCTTACTTCTCCATTACTTTTTCTTGTTTGTTTTTAAGTGGAGTTTTCGCTTTCTATTGTGTGTGTGGGTTTTTTTTACTTAAAAACATTTTGGTTTTAGAGCCCTACCTGGTGGGAGACAGTGGTCATACCCACATTGCCAAGTCATACCTGCTCAGATATACGAAAATAAAATAAAATAAAAATGTGACCTAACCACAACAACATACAATAAGCAATAAAATATAAATTTGACAATACCACAATGTCTAGGAGACAACAGATAACCTCAGTTCATATGAAGAAATGAGGCAGAGTGACTCAAACAAATGACCAAAATACAGAGCCAAAATACAATGGCATTGGAAAGCTTGATAAGGAATTCAAAAGAATGATACTTAGGTACTTTCAATGGCTTTAGAGAAAGACGAAGAAAGCTATAGGCAAAATCAAGGAAGATACAGACAAAACTTTAGAAGAATTCAGAAAAATACAAGAACTGAAATAAATAAATGAAACATTAGAAACCATAAAAAACACAAAATAAAAATCCAGAAAAAAAATTTTCTTTTCAGAAATACACAACTCATTGAAAGTACAAAGAAATAGAAATGAATCAATGGAAAACATAATTAGCAAGACTGAAGACAAATCTCTCAGTACTAAACTGCTAAGAAAAAAAAAGAGAAGAAAATAAATAAACAAAACAAATGAAGAGAGCCTGAAAATTATGTGGGGCACCATCAAGAAGAGTAACTTTACATAAGATCAGAATTCAGGAACAAGAAAGGACAGGAAAAAAAGTAAAGAGAAAACTGCTGAATATCTGCTACAAGAAAACTATATCATGAAGACAAGAGATATGAATTTAAGAAGCTCAAAGAAACTGAAACAGGATAGACCTCAAAAGAAAATCACTAAGACATAGAAAAATCATATTTTCCAATACCAAAGACAGGGAAAGAATTCTGGAAGCAATGTGGGAAAAAAGAAAAGCTGTCTAAAAAGGAAAACCCATACGACTAAACTCTGATTCCTAAGTAGGACCGTACAGAAAATAAGGAAGTAGGAAGGCACATTTAAAACTCTGAAAGAAATAAGCTGCCAGTCAAAATTTATGTACCCAGTAAAACTGTCCCTCAAATACAATAGTAAAATTATAATATTTTCAAATAAATAGAAATTAAATGAATTTTCTAAACTAGACTAACCTTATATGAAATATCGAGGGGATTTCTTCAGATAGACAATCAACAATGGTAGACAACCACCAGATATTTACACACACAAAAACTTAACCCAAAAGTCAACCCAGATACACAGCAATCTAAATAAAAATAAGACAAAAATCATAAAGATTGGGAAAATACTTAAACAGTAACAAAGGACATAATTTTACAAATCTATTAACAAAATGAGCTCAACAAAGAAAATTATATGGAAAAAAGAAACCAGAAGTACCACACACATATACAGCGACCCACAGTAAAATAAAATCAACAAATTAAAACCTAAAGATAACACTAAATATAAATGTATTAAATGTAGCAGTCAAAAGACAGAGTAATAGATAGAATAATAAAACAAGACTCATCAATATGCTGTCCAAAGGAGACACACCTAAGACACAAAAATAGACTAAATATGAAAGAATGAAGAAAAACATACATCAAGCAAATGACAATCTAAAAAGTGCAAGACTGGCAAATTAATTTCTGAAGAAAAAAAAAAAAAAAAAAGCCAAAAGCCAATATAAGGCAGCTGTGGCACTAAACACATGGTCTGAAAGGTGATAAGGTTCTTAGCTGAACGGTTTTCCTTGGACAAAGGAGTAAAACCCTTTCTGTGGGGCTGGGGGGGAGATCTGCCACAGCCATCTTCAGTGTTTGTTAGTAGCTTCAGATACAAGAAAACATATTCATGATGCAGAAACCAACGTGTGACTCACAGGGACAAAGCAGATAGGAACCACAACCATAGAGCCCAACCACAGCTATACACTCTACAACCCCACCAATTGGGCTAGAGTCAATACCAGCTGTTATATAATGGATCAACAACAACCAATGTCAGCTATATCCACCCAGAAGTGAATTGTATGAACAGCGAACAGAGAATGGCTCATAAGCTCATGTCTTGATCACATCCACCAGGGGGCAGTTGGTGAGAGCTTAAGCATACATCAACATACATTCATGAACTTAATACAAATACACCACCACCACAATGCCTTGAAAGCAGAAGATAATTTCTGTTCACATGATGAAACAAAACAGAGTAGTTCAATAAAAGGCCAGGAGGCAGAGCTGCAAAATGTTTTTGAGGTCATAGAGGCACAGGAACTACCTGAAAAAGCATTAAGGAGAATGATATTGTTGTTGTTGTTAATGATATTGTTGCTGTCGAGTTGACTGTATAGGGTTTGCAAGGAGCAGCTAGTGAGATTGAACTGCTGACCTTGAAGTTCAAACGGCTTTTTAGTCTGGCGCATTAACCCATAGCGCCATACCAAGCTCTAGGTACCTCCAAATGACTGAAAAAAAGGTGGAGAAAAACAAAGAATTCAGAAAAGCTCTATAGGAACAATCTGTATTTCTGCAGTCATTTTTGCATTATCTTTAGGAAAACTTTACTTACATGTAATATTAATGATACTGTCTGATGATTTCTGCATTCCATTGGGTCACCTCTCTTTGAAATGGGCACAAATATGGATCTTGTCCAATCAATTGACCAGAGATTCTATTAATTCCCAGAACCATGTTCTATATCAATACTTTGAGCGCACATTAGACGTCTTCCTTTAGTACCATTGGCTCTTAATCATATACTATCACTTGAAATGGTTGAACATCAACCATTTATTTTTGATACATTGAGCTATGTATTCCTTCCATTTTGTTTTGATATTTTTGGATGGTTCAATATTATATCCATTTGTTTATGTTGTTACTGTTACCGACAGAATCCTTCAATATTGTAAGCTGAGCCTTGAGTTATAGTATTGGTTAAGAATTTTAAAAGTACCCTGAACAGCCAGAAGAACAAACAAGTATGAACTGAAAGAAGAGCAGCCAGAATGCTCCTTAGAAGCCAAGATGGCGAGATTCCGATTCCATACTTCAGACATATTATAAGGAGGTACCAGTCCCTGGAGAAGAATAGTATGCTAGGCAAAGTAGAGGGTTCAAAAAAAGAGGAAGACTCCCAATAAAATGGATTGGCACTATGGCAGCAGCAATGGGTTTAAGCTTAACATTGATTATAAGGATGGTGTAGAACCAGGCAACATTTTGTTGTGCTGTGCATAAATTCACTATGAGTTGCAACCTACTCGATGGCAGCTAACAACAACATTAAGAACTATATCCCAACGAATTTAAAAAACCTACTTGTGGGTAAATTTCTTGAAGCACACTTACCTAAACTAACGTTGTCTAAAATAGAAATTTTGAAACAGACCCATGACAGATGAAGAACAGGTAGTAAAAATATTTTCAACAAAAAAGTCTTGGCCAGAGAGCTTCATGGTCAAACTGTACCAAACACCAAGAGAAGAGTTGACATC